TGTGTGTGTGTGTGTGTGTGTGTGTGTGTGTGTGTGTATGTGTGTGCGTGTGGACTTACCCGCCCCACCTCCACCAGGTTTGTTACCATGACGATGGCGGCGGTGTTTTCCTGCCAAACCATCCTCCAGAAATCGTACACAGTCTCCTGCATGGGACCTGCAACACACACACACACACACACACACACACACACACACACACACACACACACACACACACACACACACACACACACACACACACACACACACACACGCACACACTGTGTAATCTATGCCAGTTGAGTGCGGCAGAAGGTCAGTTCAAACATCCCTGATCTTTTCATGTTGGGATATTTGTTGATGCCAGAGGAGAACTCCATCTGTTTGAAACTGTGTGGTTGAAGGACAGTATCACTACTAACTACTGTAACCTGCTTCCATGTCACCTCGCATTGCTGCAAGACCTTCGTAAGTTGAGTGGCCGCCGTTTTCATTTTGACTTGTACTAACAGTAAAATGTGGTTTCCACTGGCTGCGGTCAAAAGTGCCGCTGGGGTTCATCTCAAACAACTGATTCCAAACATTAAGTTGCATGCATTTTAGTACCACCATGGGCTGCACATACAGAAACCTCCCCGTGGTGCAGCCTGGGAAACGCTGGTTGATTGAGATATACATCCAAGAGGATATAATCTGATACTGCCAGTAGGCCAATCTCTGTATACTTACCTACACAATCAAATGATGAAGATGCCTGCCGGATCTCGACATCGTCACAGATACCTGCCCCCTTCTGGACCCGCACTGTCAATCGTCTCAATCAACATCGAAGGTTTCTCCGGATGCAAGGCAGAGATACTGGCAACGATGGCCAATCGTTTTGACATACTCTGCATGCAGGAAACCCACACCGGCCCTGCACAACACCGATCGACCTACCATCCCTGGAATGAAACTGGTCGCTGAGACCCGACACAGACCGTATGGATCAGCTGTTTTCAGCAGACCAAACGTCAAGATTGAGGAAGTCTGGACCCACACTACGGAAGGAAACATGGAAACCATCACAGTTGCCCTCCCAAACCGCAAAGATGCAAGAGGAGATTCCATATCAGCATCGGCTACTTCAATGCCCACAGTACATCATGGGGCTATGAGAACAACAACCAAGATGGAGATGAAGTTGAGACCTGGCTTGAGTCCAAGCACCTGACCCTAATCCATAACGCTAAACTACCCAAATCCTTCCACAGCGCCAGATGGAAACAAGGAAACAACCCAGACCTCGCCTGTGTAAGCAGTGACATCGCATCCAGAACTGAGAAGGAAGTCCTGGACCCTATCCCCCATACCCAGCACCGGCCAATTGCCATTACCGTTAGATCCGCTCTCCAAGCAACCACCGTCCCATTCCGCAGGAAGTTCAACCTACGGGAAGCCGACTGGCTGTCATTCCAATAGGAGATAGAGCATTCCATATCTAACATACCACCATTTCCCAATAACTACTCCAACTTCACAGACATGGTAAAAAGGTCAGCCAGACGTCACATACCCAGGGGATGCCAGACACAGTATATTCCTGGGCTATCAGAAACATCCAGCGACCTGCTGAAAGCCTACTATGAGGAATATAATAAGGACCCTTTCTCCTCTACCACCATGGAACTTGGAGAGACCCTGATCAGTGAAGTTGGGGAAGAACGAAGGAAAGTCTGGAAGGAAATGCTAGAGAACACCAATATGACAAATAACAGCAGGAAGGCCTGGGCTACAATCCGCCGTCTTGGCGAAGACCACACCACACCACCGATAATCACAAAGGTCACAGCTAACCCGGTTGCATCACAGCGGGTGGCCAACCGCCATAACCAACTCCGCCGCCAACCCACAGGAGAACACAATCGCACAGTGGTATCAGACCAACCACAACCAGCCAGCCCTCTCACCAAACCCTTCGACATAGAAGAACTCAAAACTGCAAATGGGTTAAGCTGAAACCCCGAAAGAGCGTACGCAGGATGATGACATACTGGCAGAAATGATTCAGCACCTGGGACGCGTAAACGCAAAGACCCTGGCCTCCTGAGAGTGCTGAAACACATGATCGCGCAACAAAAAAACATCCCCTCCTGATCTGGAAAGAAGAGGCCCAAAGTGGTTTGCATGACAAAATCCGGCAAAGACCCCTCATCCCCAAGAGCTACGACCTTCCTCGCGTCTGCAATCACTTTACAAGCCACCAGGACTCTACTCACGCCTCATCACTCGAGACACAAGAGCACTACACAAGAAGCAAAGAGTTCGTCCTGGCGCTCTGTGCTGGACAGCTAGCTCAACCTCACCCAACCACATCGAGGATGGGTTTGAAGAAAGCAAATAACTGGGCAGCAATTCATAGAATCTTTCCTGGGCTATGACACTGTCGCAACAAACCGTACAGTGGTCAGGAAACTACTGGAACATGACTGGTGACCTGCATCTGTGTCAAGTCATCCAAAAGTGATACACAACGAGG